CAAACTATACTTCACCATTTGTCCTCAATATGTGTAAGAATGGGCGCAATTTTTTGTTTTCAACAGCCATATGGTCTTATGCGAATCACAATACATCGTTGTCATTGAATTGTTGGTTTGCCGTGATTTGTTTGCACAATCTGAACAATATCGATGATTTAGACTGTGATGATTATTGTGATTTCGACACATGTCTCGAGATCACCAGAGATCAGTGTATATCACTATTCATCTTCCATAACTATCAAATATTTGGTCACGTTCATTTCTTATATTTATCAAATATCACTATTCTCGTTTCAATGCCAGTGCCTAATTACATTTGTTACAATGATGAATTATGCGACTTTCTTAAGCCAACCATATTTGTGAATAATCTGACATGTCTACAATTCGAAGCCTTTGGTTTCAATGCGAATATAGTACTAAATTGGTACTCACTTATAACGGCTCTGCATGGTGTTTTTCATGGCTGTTCCTCGACATATTCGGTCAATCATCAACAGCTTTGTCAAGCAGAAAACGTATTCCATTGTCCCAACTCATCCACGTGTAATTTTCACCTTGTCAATAGACATTATTTGAAGAGGTCTATCATATTGTCTGCAAGATATAATAGAAAAATATATAAATTCCCATTTGTTGTTTTTATGTTGAAAATAAAATCCACAAAGACTCATTTCGTTTCAGACAAATCATAAGCCATTAATTTATGAGCTTTATGCTTTTCATTTAAATAATCAACATTTTGACGAATGTATGTTAACATCTCATCATCAGACATTTTTACATGATCAGCCATCACAATTGATTATAAATGATGGCTATGACATGCCATATAAGATTTTGGAGGCTAAGATAATTTGAAAGAAAAAAAACTACTTTTTGATGAAATAATATTTCCAAAAAATTTTTTACTGTATTTTCATATGACACCAAATGATGAATGAATTGTGCTTAATGATTTAAATGAAACGATTCATTGAGAATTTTTTGAGTGTTCAATTAGAAGATCAGTAGTTTCAGGAATCAAAGCATTCATTTCATATCTTACTTATGAAAGAACTAAAAAAAACACTATAAATTAATTCGTTCTATTTCAGCTTACGAATACTCAACTAATCGAGATGTTTGTATTTGCGTCCCATTAATTCTTTTCTTTTTCTTTGACACATACAAGTTTTTCTACGGTTTGTTCAGCTATAGTATTTTTTTGCAGCTAAAACTCGATTAGAAATATTGTGCCCAGCTAGTTGTATAGTCCTATATAGAATAAGCAGAAGTGAATGTAGAAGACAATGTAGCGATCTTCAGCAAGCTGGTTATAATCTTTTTAATTTTGATTTTTTAAAAATTTTCTTCATAAGTTAGATATAGCCTAAAGATTAGTTTAAAACGATGGAAAAAAACTTTGAACTATCTATTGATACAAAATCAAAGAAAAAAACAAGTAACAATCACTCAAAACTTAGAATTTAAAAAATATATAAAAATGACTGAGATAATACATATCTTCTAGCGACATCAGCGAAATTATACATTAGATCCGAATAGGATAAATGTATAATCACAAAGTATTACTCAAAGAACACCTTATAGGTAGGTGTACTTACAAGATTTTGAACAAAAATTTTTTATAAAATGAAATATAAAAAAGTTATAGCCATTTTGATGAAGATCACGGGCTTACTTTAATTTCTTCTCTTTGTAATGATTTCTTGTCTCTATAGTTCTTTTTTTCCTTTATAAGTTCAAGTTTTTAGTACAAAATATTCCTAAATCAACATGTACGGTGAGAATTAGGATCTGATATTTTGCATATAGTATGATCGTATACAACTGTATGCATTCATATGTGGTTCGTAAACGATGAACGTTTAACTCCGTATATGGAGAACCAGATCATAATTTTTTCAAAATTATGTATTCTTTACGATCCCGTTTCTTTCCGTAAACCGCCATTTACTAGCGTGCTTTTTCAACCTAGGCTGCTTTAGATTATAACAAAAATATCTTGATTGGAAAATACATCAAGAAGCTTCAAGATTTTGTTCCCTGTTGTGACATTTAATATACTTGGCATATTTTTCGAACAAACAAGTGGAATGATAGAGTTGAAAAGAACAAATGAAGAAAATTTAAACGCATTCATGTGCAAAAAAAGAACTTCGTCAAGTTGAAAGTAATTTTTTGAAAATACAAGAAAATAAAATTAAAATACAATGTAAAGAAAATAAACTTTGCTAACTATTGAACACAGCAAAATGTCACTCATTTTAGATTAAATGGAGAAAAATTGAACGATATTCGAACGTTCGAAAACAAAGCCACAATATATGGTTGAAACAACTCTGTTACTTATTAATCATCGCCAAAGACTTCAAATACAACTATAAATAACTCATTAATTAGTATAGCAGCAGGCATGTTTGACCATCACCTGCTAAAAACCCAATAAGCTCGTAAAATAGACATGAATCAAACGGGCAAGCTGTATCGTAGCTATATCTTCCGTTAAGTGCTCAAGCTTCTGCAATTATCAAGTAGAAAAAGTTGTCATGTTCAATAATTGAACAAACATGCTCAAGATGAAATGAAGCAAAGTTGAAGAAGCATATGGTTCGAGAATGCATTCAGAACGATGAGTTTGAGCACTATCATTGAAATTGAATTAACATCTATTCATTTATTTTGATGAAAATTTCAGTTGTTCTATTTTCTGAAAAAAAATATTGAGTATATACTTAATAAAGAGAGTATTGGAATACCTATGCAGAAATGCTTGCTTTCTCTATGGTTCTTTTGTTCAAAAGTATTGAAATTCTCATAGCAGACATACATGGTTTTTCACATTCGAAGTTCTAGCTATCAATCTTATGCAAACTGCAAGGATATCTAGTGTATTGAGAGTTTGCTTGTTATTATATGATGTTCATTTTTCAGACTGCTTTTCGATCGGTATGTATGGTTCTCTTCAATAGCCAATCTTTTCAGGTTTATAGACTACCACAGCTTATCTCTCTTACGGTGTTTTTCTTGTTCACAAATCTATCACTGCTCATTTAACAACAAGAGATACTTACATAAACAACGATTGTTTATCCAGAATATAGATTCATGGAATTTCAGTTAAATATAACTAAAAGCAGAAAAGTATTTGAAGAAAGACGGTAGGATATGCATGCATTGAATCAGTTATATTTTGATTTCTTTTTATTATTAGAAAAAAACAATAAGAATAGAGTATCCGTATATGAAGAGCATTGTTTCTGCTGCAGCGACGTCAATCGAGAAGAAAAGAAACTGACTTTTGTTTTTATAGGATTGTAAGCATCCTCGTTCTACTGGGTCTCTATCTGTTGACGATGGATCGTTTATTTTCTCATCTTACTTTCCTCCTTTGTCTAGCTTATGTCACTATTTTCATTTTACGAATTAGATTATTATTGTGGTCTTCAATACGAGAATTTGGCCGATTTCTTTTACCTTACGAGGATTATGTGTTTTCTTTCTATTGTTCTAATGACCATTATTTATTTTCGTTTTATATCGTTCATGTATCATCATGTATCAGAATACTTACAAATACGACAGAGTAGATATGCCCAACGTTACCTAGAGGTTACACACATCGTATTACTGTCATTATCATAATAGTGGTTTTGTCTGGCTTGCCGAAGATCACTTTTCTAAAAATGATAAACATATATTCCTCTTTGTCAGGTTCCTAACAGATGTATCATTTTAATCATTTCCGTATTGACTAATCGACGAATTCAAGCAGGATTCGCTGTTTTAAACAGACTCAAACAAAACTAAACTGTATAGTCCACTACTCAGACTTCATTTCCACACAATATCCATTGACTAAAATCTTATCAAAGCAATACTTGTTTGAGTCTTTTTTTTTTAATTTCTCGAATTATTTAGCTCATTTTATCGAACATATTCATTGAAGTTGATTACTTGTATTGGTTAGAAAATTTTTCATTTTGACTCTATTTGTCAATAAATACGTGGATGAATCTCAATGAAGATACGATGTAGAGTTTAAAACTGAGTGACATCTAGTTCATATTGCCTTTCAGAAGAGTTTTTTTTTTCAAGAAATAGTTGTCTTCTTGTTGTGCTGAATAATAGAAGCACGCTTGAGTATGTGATTAATGTACCTGAAGTCTTACTTTTACATCTATAATCATCAATGTATAAGATAAATACGTATTGAGTACTTGATGGATGAAGCCACTGCTAACGGGACAAAGCATTATTCATCATGTAGAAACATGAGACAAGCATGGAAGCAACAACTCTTGAGCTTTGGTAAACTGCAAATAAGCTTCTTTCTAGAATAGAAGACTATGAAAATATTAATTCATACTTTTGAAAAATACTTAGTTGTCTAGAATGTTTTTATGAAACTTTTTCTCACAAATGCGATTAACAATGTATTTTCGTACACTGTAGGCTGTTTTTCAGCAAAAAAAATCTTAAAATATTTATTAGAAATAATAATTAGTTATTAGAATGTTCAAGCATAAAAGGGCTTCCATCATTTCTTTGGTAGTCGTAATGGAAAGACTAAGGCAATTATTGCCGACGAATAACGTCTCGTTTTCGACGACGCCGAAATGTAAAATCTTCTTTGAGTATCTCGTTCGATGGACCGAACACAGGCCATTTTATTTTTTTCAATCGTTCTTTGACCGACTTTCTATAATTATTCACTAGTCGAGCACTGATACTCAACCCGCTGGAGATAGACGCAGAGAAAAATTGCCATTTTCGCATATAAGCAATGGCTTTCGATGCTGCATGTAGCTCTGTGACTGTTGGATGAATGGCAAACAGATGATCGAAATTATCATTGCCCAAATCGTGACGAAGATCATTAAAAAATCGTTCGGTAGCAATTACTGCAAGATTGGCCGCTTCATAGCTGAAACGAGTAAAATAGCTTCTTTCTTTCTTTTTTCGTAAATAAAACAGATATAAATTATTACTCACTGAAGATCGAAACGAGGTGAATAAATTGGAATGGTCGTATCTTTATTGATTCCACCAGTGGCTGGCTGATGTGAGGTAATATCCATTACTGAACCATGTGAACATTTTTCGACATTGATCGGTTTACTGACGGGATCATTGTTTTCATTATGTTGATTGCTGGAATAACCACTCGTTAGTAGACCTTGAGCAATAATTTCTGGTCGAATATTATTTTTACATTCGTAGTATTCCAATGGACACCTATTCAATGTGATTTTTTGATAGAAACTCTTGAATGAAAAAGAAATAATGATTTACGTGTAAATATGTTTGTGAAAGGACAACTTTAAACTTACACATCGTACTCGAATTTTTGAACAACCACTACTAATACAAGTCGCTTGATTGGGTGCAGCGACTGGTCCGATATTTTCATCAATGCCTAGTCGATTGTTAATGTCTGTTTTGCCCAACTCAACCCAGTTTGAATGTGAATAAAAGTCCTGTAAGGTGTGCAACAGTTGTCCGAGATATTTGCGAGCTTCAGTCAAATTTTTCTTTTTTGCACGTGCATCATTAATGACTGGAAAACAAAAGACGACAACAAATGAAATCATAAAAAAAAAAAAAAACTCATCGAAACTGACTTCGTCGTCGTAATTGAAGAATGCGTCGACTTCCATTACTAAATGCTTCACTATCGAAATGAGCTGCCGGTAATTTTTTCGTCCAAGCATCAAAATCAACCAAGCCATTCTCTGCTAGAATCGTATCAAGAATAGATTTTAATGGATAGGATCGCTGTCGCAATTGTTGTGTAGTCCAATGAGGGTAGGCCAGTCGATAGAGTCCATCAATAGTATATTCCTGTTTTTCATTAACGTCTTGACTTCGAATGGAATGTGTATCGATAAAGTAACGTTCAAGACTGCGGATAAATGCTTGCTGTGTTATTTCGGTGTGTGTAACACCTATCATAGGGAATTGAAAACGATTCTATCGAGACAATGTATCAAGAAAACCTTACTATCTTCAGCTTGACCACCGAGGCGGACAGAAGGATGTGGAATAAATCCTGTTATTGTTACCATGAGTAAACAGAAACAAGGCAGAGACTTTAGTTTAATGTTTGACATCGGTGTCGATTGAAAACGAGAAAAATAAAATGTTGTTGGTCGACGATTATTTTCATGTGGTAATTTGTATTTCTAGATAAGATTGATTTGCGTCGCGATCAAGGAAATTTGATAGCTGTTCTCAATCGATGCATTTAATTCGATGCATACTATTGATTGTTCGCGGTCTCAAAAGAGAATTGGAAGCAAAAAAATATCGAAGCAGCGTGATATACTACTCAAAGTTACTAATCGAAAATGAGACTTACATATTGGTACGGATCATCAGCTAAGAATTATTTCTCTTTTCAATAACGGTCAGTTATTATGACCTGAACGAGTCATCTGTGTCATTTTGATAGAATTTTTAAGTACTGTCGTATCAGTGTTACATGTGAATAAATGAAATTCATTACTGAGCTACTATGATCGGATCTTTCACTTGCACATGTTCTTGGTATCCTAATGAGCATTGTTCAATATAATCTTCTCTCCCATTTTTTATCTTCAAGAAAAAAACTGCTATAAGAATAATAATCGACATAATACGACAAGAAATCCCAACAGAAACCGAGTTCATTCATTATTTCACGCTCACCAGAAGACGTCGAAACGAGTAAGAAAATATTTATTCGGATTGGATTCCATTGGAGATAGTCAGGGGCATGCTTTTTTGTCAAATCATACACCAACATACACTCCTATTAACCCAGCTCCCACTCACAGACACCTCTATCATAACTTGTGTAGCGTAGCAATCATGATTAATGTACTATTCACATGATACCATTTGATTGTATTCATTTGATCTCAACAAAAAAAACGTCATTCAACAATAGAAAATTGGTGCATATCTGTTTCGCCTGACAAAGGTTTTTTGCTTATTGGTGGACCGAAGAGAATATGACGCATAGTGTACTCCTTTTCTGTCAGACATTGCCGTGGAGGGATGAAAACATTCGGATCGCTGATGCCAACTGTGATGTCATAGAAGAATGTAAAGTTGATACTATCGTCTGGTTCAAAGGTTATATCAGAAATGGGCAGACAACCTTCATAAGTCCACATGCCTATATAGCTAGCTGTTTGATTTATAGGTATGGTTTGCTTACCACTCCTAATATATCGACAAGAAACTTGATTGATTAGGAAACAAAAGCAAGGTGACTCACCAGATAGTAACAAGCAAACCACTGTCGGGACTCGCAGACGATCCAACATATGCTTCACCAAGAGACTTAGCATCAGACTGGATGCTATAATCACGCCACGGTTGATCGAACGGAACACGTGTACAAACACCTGTTTTCATATCGATAAAAAATGAAAGTTTGGCTTGATAAAAGCCAATAATATCGTAGTAGGTCTCGCTTTCACCGACTGTGACGTCTTCCAAAATTCGTGTACGCTGATACACTGAATCATACGTCAATTTACCGAAAAGCTTAGCTTGTAATTTCCGATTATAAGTATGAACGCGACCTTCCCATTGACGAGGGGATATGCAGGGTTTTGGTACTTGAGCAAAAGAAAAGCCCAAAAGGCACAATATCATCAATGGCAGCATTTGTCAACAACACGATAAAGAAATCGACACAATAACGATATACATGTTAGCTTTTGCCATTGGACCTGTAATCATAGTCCAAAGATAAGAACTTGCAGTGTTTCATTCTTCGGAACCATGAAGAAAAGGAATAATATGTTTGTTATCAACAAGCGATGAAAGTTGTTTTTCGTGACTTTGTGAACGTGTATGATTCAGAATTGCATCGCACAATAGTTGGGACTAATAGTGTGAGTACAGGTTAGGCCTTAAGTTTTTTCAACATAGTGCACAAGTTTCAATCGATGAAAAACGTTCCTTTCTGTATATCAATTAACAAACAACTTCTTTTGGTGTAAGTTTAGTTGACTTGTAAGCGCCGCACACATTCATCTACACACACAGATTGGTGCTTTTACTCGGTGGTCAGACAATTAGTCGCAAGACAATTCATCACGGTCATTTCGTCGCATGAAGCATAATGAAATAGGACTTTTATTATCACACTGACATTTTTTAACAATAGCAAATGAACATTTACAATAAATATTCATTCATAAAAAAAATTACAATAAAGAGTATATAAAAAAGTGTTGCCGAAATTGATGATTACAATGTGGCATTGGCTGCTATTCCATTTAAATAATCTTCCAACTGGTTAGTATCATATCTCAATACCAATCTTTTGATCCGATCACCGAGTTTCTGATATAAGGCTTTTTTGGTTTTGGTTCAACCTCTTGTCGAATTTGAGCAATATCGATTTTGAATTTTGACTGCCAATTTTGGAATTGATGGATGAGTAATGGAGACACGATTTGCAAAAGCATTATGCCATCCTTCCACCGAGTTATTTGACCGTGGTAAATCACTGACAACACGATCATATAAGTTCCACAGCGCATGTTCAAACTGCGGTTTTTTTTGACCGATTTCTTAATAGAAAATATAGTGGCAGATATAGTTGTTATCTAATCTTACCTCTTTGTTTTGGTTCGCCAATCCAGACTTTTTCGAAATAGTCAATAAAATCTTCCGCATCATCGTCAAAATTTTCTGCAATTAAATCAAAACTTTTAACAACGTCGACGAGTAGAACAAATGCTAAAGAAATTAATTTTTTAACATTTAAATCAAAATGTTCATCATCTTGGTATTTGGTCGATAAACCTCTTGATTGTATCTGGCGCCAAATACACTGGCTAAAATAGAAGAGACAACCTACAAATAAAATCAATATTTAGTCTAACTAATAACATTAACAATAGGTTTACCTTTATGTAAAACTCCATGAAACATTGATTGAACTGATTTAATGGTGCCTGGTTCAAAATCTGTTAAAATTAATATTGGTTCAAAATCATCTTCTTCTAAATCAGCAGGCCATAAACTAACGGAATGATTTCCAATGTAAATAATGCATGTAAAGTGAATAATTGATAAGAGTCGTCAGGACAAACGTAAAAAAATTTCACTTTACTTTAGAAAGATTACATTTGATACTCATTTTAAAAGTTCCATCAGCAAACCAATGTTTGCAATTTTTTAATACAGATAAATTAGCTTTCGTCGTAAAGCTCATTAGTTCATCGCTTTCGTATAATAAAAAATCTTCACCATGATCTGTTTTTTTCAAACTGGCCAGAAGTTGACTAGTACTATCTGAAGAAATAACTGTAAGTTGTCGACGAATTGTACGCATCAATGTTTCATTTCGTGGCAAAGCAACAGCTGCACTTAAAGAAAAAGATCGCAAAGCCGAATAAAGAATACTACTGGATGCTTCGTCAGTTGTAGCAGCACAAGCTTTAATTTCATTTTGTAGTTTGATGATCCGAAGATCACTGAGGTTAGAAGCATGACAATGTGCAGTTGGTTCTGATAATATTAAATTCATTTCTAAATTTGTGTGGCAGCGTCCTTTAAAGGCAGGTTGTACTAAATTCACACAAGCTTTTTTATAAGATAAACTTACCTTTACAATCGCAATTATGACATCGAAAAATAAGTTTAATAGATGTTTGTCGATTTAATGTGTATCTATAACCATCATAAATTATCATCGGTTTTCCTTTGCCGGAAAGAACCTTTTGAATATTGAACATGTTGAAAGGTCAATACATAACACTCAATGTAATCAATACAGAAATGAACATCTTTTATTAGGTGCTGACTTATATGAATGAGATTAATTTTCAATAACATATAAGAAAATGAGAAGAATAATTCTCAACGTCCGCCAAGTTTATTATGTCTCTATGGAAGAAAAAATTCAATCACATATTATTTGACTTTTTCATTATGCGACAAACTGTCCGCGACTTCCCAGGTCGAACATTACGACGACTAGATACGACGGTATACGGTCGTATTTGCACCGTGCCACGAAACTTTTAAGGCACACACGGCCATATACGTCAGCGTATACGGTCGTGATATAATTGTACACGGCCGTATAGGATCGTTCCGCAGAAATAGAAGATCCACATATACCCAGATTAAGCATTACGACGCCTAGATACGACCGTACATGGCCGCACACGGCAAAAATACGGCCGTATTTCTATGCACCGTGTTACGACCGTAAACGGCGACACATGGTTGTAGTATACGACAGAGAAAACGCGGTAAAACAAGGCAGCTCGCGGTCGTCTTTTTCAGGACAACACCCAATCACCTATCCTCCGATCCTAAGGTACTCGGGGGCGGCCTTTCGAATGAAGGGTGAATGTGCGAGTCTCCTCCTTGCGCTTCACTGAGAAATAGAATCTTACCATTTGATTGGTCGCAAAATGGACCAATCAGATTTCAGGAAGGTCTATCTCTCTTATTAGACGGGCAACACATAGTCATGTTTGGGCCGATCCTAAGGTTATTGAGGACGCTCTTTCGAATGAGAGTTATATGTGTTGGTGTTCAGCTTTGCTATAGCTGAGAAATATAATGTCGAAATCTGATTGGTCAGTTGAAATGGCCGGATTATCGCTTAGAGCTGGTGAAATTTATCGGCGGCCGTAAACGGTGGGTTTTTACGCTGGTTGTTTGTGATGGGCGTAATACTAGAAAAAGGGTTGTTTACGATTGCTGGATACGGCTACCGAAAACAGGTAGCATATACGGTGCTTTACAGCTTTTTATCTTTTGCACGTATACACTCGCCGTATTGTTACGGTAGTCGTTAACGACAAATTTTTGCGGCCATTGTTTACGATGACCGTAACACATCGTAAAGCATCGTTCACGATTGCCGTAAATGGCTAATGCGAACAGTTGCCGTTATCCGCCGTATATGGTTGGTACACGACCGTCTACGACCGAGGAGGATTGATCCAGGTTATTGGCTTATGACTAATTGTCCGCGCAACGACCTGTCCGAAGGCGAATTGTTCATGCGACGAATCGTCCGTGACGAAATGTTCTGCGACTAATTGCCATAGTACCGTTTTACTCAGCGTATACAAAGTGAAAGTCGAGTCTCTCTTGAATAGAAAAAAATTTAATGTTGTAACACTGATTTAACAGATCAATCAATAAGAATGATGGCAAACTGCATACGTCATTAGTCATGATTTATTCAATAATCACAGATTTTCTTGTTTATCAAATTTGCACTAAGAAGAAATATTTTTATGCAAAAGTGAAAATAGACGAAACATCAGGAAAAGCAGAAGAGGAGACAACCGCGGTCGTAGTGCTGATACTATCTTATGAAAATATCATACTGCTATAGTGCAAAATATTGTGGTGAAAGTGTTCTGCTTATGACGAGCACATTGTCACAAGAACAATTCCAGTAGGATGAAACATGAAGCACGAGTCACTATCGTCTTGTTTGTACAAAGCAACATGTGGCAGTATGTGCTCGAAAACCGTCTTTTCCACCAGTTTTCCATCAATTTCCAGTAATTTTTTGCCCAAAAAGAAGCTGAGTAAATTCAATGCTTTTTCACGTTCGGATTCTTCATTTGAATTCACATTTTTTAGACAGCTGATATTCACGTAATTGTCGAGATAGATTATGTTAAAGTGTAAGGAAGGCATCTGAGAAACAAGTTTCTCCAAAGCTTGTCGCAAATGATATGTGTTGCATTTAAAAATGGGTGACGGTTGATCGAACCCTGCAGCATGAATGATTTGAGCCATACCACTTGGGGATTTGTGAATAGCAAGCAGCTTTCCTTTTACTGTTAACCTGTTGATAAGTCTCACAAATGTCGACTCAAGGCAATCGTGCATAAAATACAGTACGTGTGCGCATAGAATCAGATTGAATTTCTCATCTTTCTGTTCATGCTCATAGCCATCGAGATCGACCTGTTTTAAATGGAAATGATAGCTAGATACGGAGGAATGTGACGAAAGATTTTCTTTGAATAAGTCGAGTCGGTATTGATTCGGTTCAAGTCCAACGTATTCAATATCAAGTAGAGGAAAACGTCGGGCAATTATGTCGAGTAGATCTAAATCAAATTGACCATTGCCGCAGCCGACAGACAACATACGCCAACGGTGAGCTGTATCCGAAACATATTTATCTATGTTGTCATTAAAGAAGGCAAGTGTGACATGCATATTTAACAAGGATAAGTAAGAAGCAAACCCCTTTTGATAATATGGATCCTCTGGTGAAAGATCTACCAGATTGGTGGCGAATGGTGACGTCATAGAAAATATGTTCTTTGCCTTGTTAATGTAAATAATGCAGTTGAAACGTCTACTGTAGACCTAAGAAGGAAGATTTATTCGTTATTCGCTGCCTCACAATGTTTAAATGAGAAAAAGAATATGGGAGATAAGATAGTGAGCGAGGAAAGAAAACAGACAAGAGAGAAGAAACAAACTTCGCACTGTCAACGTCGATAATATACATGAAAAAAGATAGCACGAAATGAAAGAAGAATTATGCTTCGCTCAGAAATGAATGCAGTCACAGCCCTATTCCCCTTAGTAATTTATTTGGCCCATACTTCTAATGATTGAGGGTATAGGGTATGTGAGTCTATAAATCAATTCGAAGAAGATTGAGGGTGTGGGTGTGAATGTGTGTGGTGCGGGTGTGGGTGCGGATCTCTTAATCTGTTTATCAAGAACCAAGTTCATAGTCACCCACACCCCACCCCACACCCTAGCAAAGTTGAGACCTTGTAGATGTCTAGGACATCCCTGGTAGGCCGGGAAATGAATTAGCATGAGAATGTGGGCGATTGGCGTAGCTGCTTTTAATTCGATTCATATCGTTACGTATGCATACTCTATTTAGTATACCAAGTAGTTGACTATAGTTACGGTATGACAAACAACGATATTTGAGCCATTGTCGAATATTCGTGTGGCCATCATGAGCATGAAGATTGTTACTTCGACCACCATCCGTGCAAATGAATTTGTCAAGTGTGTGGCACACTAGCCTAATATCTCCCACTCAAGTAAATAGTCGAAATCTACCTTCGCATTCCAAGATGGGTGTGGGTGTCGATGAAGAGAACACCACACACACCCATCTACACTCAACACCCACACCCTTTCTTCTACGATAAGAATTTACTCATTTCCTTCATGTTGTATAGAAAGTCTTGCTCAAACGGCCAAATATGAACAAAACACATATTTAAGTAAAGCTGAGTGAAATAGAGATAAGAAAAAAACGCAGAAGAGATTGTCTACAATATAAAACGACTATTCAAATTCTTCCACTGCACGATCAAGTGTTATTTCAAAATCAGATCATGTCTGTGAAAGACAAACCGTTTACATGTTCGTTCTCATAGGTTCGAAAACTTTATTATCATTTGTTTTTTTCAGATGTTTAACCATCTCAATTTCGAGATGACGATGACGAATCTAATTTGTTTCAGAGCACGGTATAATTCTACAAATTGCCACGCTTTTATTTATGAAATAATGCAGTATATAAGTCTTTAATTCTAAAAACATACGAAACTATTACTTTCAAGTTAAATATATTTTCTGTTGGAAAACGACAATTATTATACTATGATCAAAGATATACATAAATACTTGTCGTATAATTGATAAAAAGTTACTTTACCAGACGATCATATTATAAGCTCGATCAGAAACAAAATAATTGATTATCATAAGTTTTTAAATATTTATCCGATGTCGAAAAAAACATACAATTGTTTAGTGAATTTTCTAATAGAAAAATAGCAATTCACAAAAAAATATTATACAAATGTGTTCTACAGAAAATTCAAAGAAATCTTTTGTGTTTAAATATAAGTATGAGAACATTGAAGAATACCACGTAGATCATGACGTTGTTACTGCTATTGATTGCTTCGGTTTATTTCTTTTGATGTAGAAAAGTACATAGGCATTTCTTGAAATGATGTCGGAGTCGCGATGATATGATGATACGAATGAATTCTCGAATTTGTATCATTCATTTTCATCATTTGCCTCGTGTCGAGCATATGCTACATAATGACCACCATAGATTGATCCAATATAATTACTAGCAGCAAATAAATCATAAATATCTTCTTCTAATAATGGCAAAAAACCTACTTAAATTAAGTTCATCTTTTCGATAGTCAACAAATGTTTCTATTTTTTTATCGTAAATCATCTTCATGTGAAAATCGTTTGCATTAAATAATGAGTATAGATGGAAGACTACATAGTTGAAATTGTTTAGTTGTTTTTGCATGTTTCTTTTACATGTCTCTGGTTGATATAACCATGAATCTTCTAGACTTTCAAGTGAACAAAATTCTCGAAGACAATCTTGGCGAATTAATTTTTTGAGTGTTTATCGTGTCAATTGAAGGATGAACTGAATATGAAATCGTCGTGTTCGACAAGCGTTACTTCATTAGTGGACAACTGATTCAATGGCATTTCTAAGTCAACCTGTCCATCATTTGTCATAACTATAATAATTTGGTAAATGCTATATGAAGGACGAGGCTCAACAAAAGCGTATATGATACTTTTAACTTGACCATTCTCGAGTACACTCACGGTTGATAAGCCATTATTACCGTCTTTCGCAATAAATTGAGGATGAGGGTGATGTTTCGATTTACTTTCAGTGCATTTTATTTGCTTTTTGGTTTTTCAGGATTCTAATTAAGATGTGTTGGAAAGAAAATACGACAGGAGCAAGTATTGGAAGAGTATCTGACTGGAGTGCACCATTCATGGATTCCTTACAAGATGAAAACAATTTATCGATGATAATCTGGTTGAGACTCTTGTAGAATAACTAGTCAATGGTCAGTTCATATAATATATAGTCAATAACTGTATCAATCATATGAAAAGAATTGTTGTTTCCTTGTTGCTCTAAAGAGATTATAATGAAACAACTACTTTTTATTGTTCTAATTTGCAGTGTTTTGAACGTTGAAAACTTTATTTTTCAGGCTTTTCGAGTAAAAGAGACTGGAGAAACACAGATAATCAATACTAAATGTTATCTGTATGTATACAAAATATTAAGTTGATAGTTGAAATAATTAAAAGAATTTCTTTTGACGCCTTTTTTCTGTTCACAATAAGGGCAAGAAGGTTCAATCCGTTTGAAACCTCCTCCAAGAATACTTACATCTGCACTGGCAGCAGTTTCAACATTTTCGAGAGGAGTTCACACATTTGCAGGATAAGTTGGGTTCGTTTTGCCTCTCTCTCGCCAGTTATGCCATTAGAATTCTTCAGAAAACAACCAGATATTATTTAGAGGACAATATCAATATTTTATTATTGAATGTAAGTATTTTACAGTTTATAACATTAAAGAGAGACAAGCAGAAAAAAAAATAAGTCGTTAACTACGATAATTGTTTTTAACACACATATGTTACATATAAGAAACAGAAAATTAAAGCCAAAGACGAAATCTTGATATTTCAACATCTATTCGACTATTAGGAAAGCGAGCTTGAACCATTAAACGATAAGGTTCAATTTTTTCATAATGGATTTCACCATAAATATCGAGAAAGGTAAATTCTTTTAATTTTTCGACCAATTGACAAAGATTTTGTTCATAGACGACTACATGTTGAGCTAAAATAAAGAATTATATTATTCATTTATTTTCTCGTATAAAATAATTGAATTTGTATATGTATATATATATATATCTACCAATCGATTCGGGTGTTTTTAGAGACTTCAGCCATCGTAGAAGTGGAACCACATTGATGCGCCTTATTCCATTATCTGGTCGAACTTAAATGAAGAAAAAGACAACGAAACAATATTAATCCGTAAAATACATGAGAGTTTCAATAGAAAATAGCTTTCTGTTCCTTTATTGAAAAAAGTAGATCATTTAAATGAATGTTTTCTTTTACCTGCATTTCTTTTTATATAAAATAATGGTTTGATATTTTTGTTCAATTAAAGAACTTTTATTGCCGAGTTACTATTTTAGTGAAAAGTCAAATCAAGTGTCAACTTTCTTATGTATAGTTTCCAAAAAAAAATAATCTGAACATTCAGAATACATGTTTAAGATAAGAAGTTGTTCTTTCGCGACTCATTTTGTTATTTGCTCAATTCAGCAGCGGAAAACTATGCTGCAGACGAGACTCTCCTTTTGTTAGTTTTTCCTAATCATGTTACTTTTTAATGAGAGCATTTTGAAAAAATTAAGAATTTGATCGATACTTTGAAATGAAACTTTGATTAGTTTTTCTATTTTTCTTTTGTACAGAAAAACACATAGCAACGCCTGCTATTTAAGAGTGAAATAGTGTGAACTTACACAACGGTAAAGAAGTTTTTGAATCATATAAAATAATTCTTGATCTCAAATTCATATAGATTTCTGGCTCAATATTGAAATAGACTCTATTTTACAAAGTTGAAAGATTTCATCACAGATGAGTAAACAATAGTTACAAATACGATTTAAAAGAATTAGTGTATTTCTATCAATATTATTTCTTTCTAAACTTAAAATTGATATCAAAGATAGCTAAATGAATAAAATAGAGAAACATTTCGATAGAAAATTTCACAATTCAAATTATTTTGTCTTTCTTGAACATAATTCATTATTCAATATTTTCATAATTAATCAATAATGATGAATAAGACATAATATCTTTCATCAATTTCAATGAGAAAAAGAGAAAATGAATCCGATCAAAAACTATAATTATTATTTGCAGTATAAAAATTTCGAAAATAAAATCAAAGTTTTTAAAACATTCGATTTTACTTCTCAAATATCAATCAAGTCTATGTTACATAATTATAAAACTTGTGGTGTAGTAAGAGAAGACGTGAATAGAATTGATAGAAGAGTACTTTTTTTTATTCAAGTTGAGCTATACATCATTATAAGAATATCTGTATGATTAATAAAGGACAAAATAAAATTAAAAATTAAAATAAAACAAAACTAAGAATGATATTTATCATGGATTAATAAGAGATTTTATTGTGATTAGTTTTGTTTGCTTAAAATAAGCTTACTAGATGTCCAAAGAAAATCATCTGATCACCAAAGACGTAATGTTTGTAAACGAGGCATATGTGTGCTAAGAAAAGGCACAAGATATTTACCAATATGATTTGCTTTGTTGTAACCATAATGACAACTCGGAAGACAAAATTCAGCATATCGAACACTACTTAATACATTCGTTCTTAATTCGTTCGATGCCTAAATAGAAAAGAAAAATCAAAAGAAATAAATCATAATAATCTATCAGAATTGATTCATCAAATCAAACTAATTATATTAAAATGCTAGGAAAAAATAGTTTAATAACGATCTACGTAGAACAGTCGTTAAACAATTTTTTGTTTTATCTCGTCTATAATCTTGGCTTTCCATTCTCACTCCTAAAGTGATTACATAGTACTGGAATAACAATGTAATTCTAATATTAAGCAACTACTTTATATGCCCTCTTGAACTGACTAGTTTCAGTCGCTTTGACTATTGAGATCATTCTACATCTCATGTTTTTAAGTGCTTTCAAATCTTTGGTTATTTTTATTCTGGATTTACATTAGCATTTTCTTTCTTTTCCATCGATAAATTAGAGATAACTGTTGTTATTTCTTCTCTTTTTCTTCAAAACATAAAACGACTCCATTTGTTTATTCTTTATTTTTAAATGCTAACATATAATTTCGTGTAGAAAATGAATGCACAAAATACTTCTTTTTTTGTTTTGTTTATGTTTATTTCAAAACGAATAGTTTTAGCTCAAACACGAACCAGATAGACTACATTTTTTATCACGGTCGAAAGTGTTTTGACTCTGACGGTACGTTACGAGTAAATTTTTTTCTTCTCAAAACTGTTGCTTTTTCAGTTCTTAATTTAAATGATAGATTCAACAGCTTTGTTTAGGAATATATATACATATGAAGAATACAACGTAAAAAGGTGACTTTTGCTTGAAATAAGTCTGAATTCGACTAGAAAACAATAATGATAATTTTATGTCAAGAATAAAACTATTCTACTAATGTGAGTTTGATTGAAAAACTCTTTTAATTCTAGAATGATATACTTTACTTAAAAAGTATTAACAATAGAAATGAAGAATAGAAAAAAATAATTGTAAAAATGTTGGATTGGATTTCAATTTGATTTGGTGTTTGTCGTCAAATGTTAATCGGACACAAGCGATTAAATAGTATATTTTTTACAAGCAAACAACGTCATTTGAAAGCTAAAAGACATTTCTACTTAACAAATGTTTCAAAAAAAATTTTATTCTCAGTAAGAAATTAGTACTCATCGTTTATTCAGATTCAATAAACATTCGACACAATCCTCTACTGTAAATATGTATATATTGATAACGAGAAAATGAAATTCTATAAATCTAGAGTGTTATGAAGATTAAAAAATTCGATATAAGAATATAAAATCGATGATGCTCAAAAGATAAAAGAAAAGATCAATCTATAATTCTTTAATGTTTGATAAAAATCGTAGCTAGTCGTGAGTGAACTTCAATTACCACAACGATTTATGGCTTTGAATTACGACGATAACACCAATCTCTAGACTCGTCACTAATTTCGAATTAGTCGAAGTTAAAGTGCTGTTAAATATTTTCCAAGAGGAAATAAAAATGAAATCTCTAGATCAGAAATTACAAAAAGTTCAATAGAAAGTTCTAAACTTGAAAATAATTGAACAGTTTAATTATACAAAAAAAAAGAACATCATATAACTTATCAATATACTATGTAATTAGTCTAAAACTTGTAGCTTCTCAAAAGGGATACTTTAAAAAGTGTCAATTTTCTTCAAATGATGCAAGATTTAATTGTCAAATTGTTTAACTTGAATATATTCAAATCAATTATATAAAAAGATCAGAAATAAGAGAAGACTTACGTATTGAATAACATGTAAGAGCCATTCGAATTGTTCAACTAGAAGACATTTGAGCTGTACAGTCATTGAAATGAGAAGTGCAAGTACTTTTTCACGTATTTCATTTCGATCTATTGGTTCATCGACACGATCTAGAAAAAATATCTTTGATTCTACATAATTTCCATAAGAATATTTGTTAAACAACAAAACAGATTTATTCTCGTCGATATTTTTTCAAACTGAAGATTATTTTTCTAAAATCTTTCTTTCAAGTCATGCATATGCATGTTAAAGTAAAATATTAATGGGTGAATGATTTTCTAATTGATAACTCGTGGGATTAATACTAGAAAGAGAAAAGTCAGCTTTGTTTTTACAATAGAGCTGCCATATTGCAAAGTTTCAATGAGCTATACACATTCTCAAATAGGGTACGCGTGTAATGCAACTTTTTTTATAAATAGGATACAGTGATGAGAGTACATAATTTATAAATAGTGTAAGATACTCTGAAAGAGAACCAATTATATAAGAGCATGTATTTAATGAGAGAAGTTATGTCTGTTGTCATTTCTCAAGAAAATGATTTGTGATGCTCATTTTCTAAAAAAAGTAACGTTAGAAATAAACGATTTTCGATAAAATTCTACTTGAAAAACTACTATCGGACTTTTTAAAGAAGGCAACTAAAGAAAAGCTTATGACTTTTGAACGAAAAGTCGTAGAGATCTGCAGTTTTCACCATACAATTCAATAGAGGACAGCGTTGGCCACAAGCCTATGTATCGGGGGTGTTTTTCTAAGGCACTTTTTTAGACTAATTTTAGATGCAAAATTAGGAAAAAATTAGCGAATTTTTGAGAAATGTTCTTTTGATTTTTTCTCGCTAGTTGTGTAGTCCGAAGCATCTTCTTGAAAATGGTATCTAAGCAACTGTGTCTTACGTGCACTCGCTCTCTTAAAAAACCTCTAGCGTCTTGAGAAAACAAAATTTTGAAGTTGCTTAAATACCATTTTTTAGAAGACGCTTCTGACTACAAAACTAGCGGAAATTGTTTTTTTTATTGTCAAGAAAATTCGCTAATTTTTTCCTAGTTTCGCCTACTAAAATTAGCCTAAAAAAGTGCCTTAGGAAAACACTTCCGATACATAAGTTTGTGTCCAACACTATCCTCTATTGAATTGTATGGTGAAAACTGCAGATCGCTACGACTTTTCGTTCAAAAGTTATAAGCTTTTTTCAGCTGCCTTATTTTAATATTCCAATACTAGAATGGGTACATTCTAGTGAGATAAATATTAACCATTTCTATTAATTAAATAAATCTTATTTGAAGCGTGTGTGTCTTTTGCTTTTTTACCAGTTATCGATCGGTTTAGACTGGAAATTTATAAATAGGTAAGATATTTCGACTTATGTTTACTACAAATTCCAAAATAAAAGACCATGGCCTTTTATTATGGGGACTCAGATTGCTCTTTCAGTAACGATTCTTCACTGCAGTCGGCTAGATTTTTACTGACTTTTACCCGAAAACAAAGGATTTTTAGTAACTGAGTGCCACAAAATCTGGATTTTTACTGAAGAAAACAATTTTTTTACTATATAGGAAATAAATTATTTTTATGACAAAAAGCTACATTTTACTTTAAAAAGTATTTCTCGGTACTAGAATCTGAAAAAACCTCTTCGACTTTCAGAAAAAAAAACTTTCGAAAGCCTGTGGCTTTCTAATACATCTTGCGAACAATTTCTAGAAGGTGATCTTTTACTATGGAATAGCCTTCGATGTTGGGGCTTGGTTTTATTTAATTATACTCAGTGTGCTTTTTTTCATCTAACGATAATGTATCAACGAAGATTTAGATTTAAAGAACAACAAGATAGTGACATTTATACTTTATAACTATATAAAAACTTCCTTAGCTGCAAAAGAAAGTTTTTGATAACTTCTATGAATACACTGTTCATTATATTTAGCGAAGAGAAATAAATGCTAAAATAGGGTACCAAAATTCGAAATGGGGTATTGTTTGGGATGCACAGTTTCGGTGAAAACAGTGGAAAACCGACAGTGATGTACCGACACTGACTGAACGAATATCGGTTTTCACTGCAGCGGTAACAGAATTGGCACTGACCAAACTCACTATAGTCAAGGATAAAAGTTTAAATCTAAACGTATTTTTGATTTTTTTCAATAATACTAGACACCTAGCTTTGATCCAAATAGTGGTTTCAAAGATGGGGAGAGAGGGGAGAGGGTAACACTTCCATAAGTCATGCACAGAAATATCTTAAACTCCATTGTGTTTTTTAAAATGGCAAAAATAATTTTGTCATTTGCTTATCGATCGTATAAAAGCAAAATGTTCGATAATTGGATTATGAGTAAATTCAAAATTAATTAAATATATCAGGAAAAGAAACTATTTCAGCTTTTCCAACAATCATCTGGTATTAACCTGGATTTAATGACATATTTAAATAACTTATTGAACGCAAGATCATTTCTATTTCTTATATAACAGTCGAGAAAAAATATAAATATTTTCAGTTATTTATTATTTTATGTAAAACGATTATCTTTTTGCATACAATGTTTTTAATATTGATTAGAAATATCCTTCAATTGTAAACTAGAGATGTGCAGGATTACCCTAGTCTGTAGGGTAGATCAGGCTAAGACAATTATAGGATTGGATGAGGATAAGACAGTAATAGAGTAGGGCAGGGTAGGAGGAAGAAAAAAGCTTACCCTATACATCTCTTGTGTAAACCATTGATAGGAGTTTTCGTTAATTTTTCTTATTGATATCTCAAGAATCAATATTTTTTACTGTTGTCTTTCTATTCATACTAGATCATTTAACTGTATATTTCGATCTGAATCGCTTCTTTTTGTAGTATGTTTATACGTATTCAATATTCAGATGACATCTTAAAGTACACGTAAGACTTGCAAAACTAATTGATAGAAAACACCAATGAAAAACAAGTGTAGAACAGGATGTATACTAATAGAGTTGTAACCGGCCCCGTCCGACCAGTCCAAGTTTTAGACAGGCTGGTTCAAAAAACTTTTCAGGTCGGTAAAAACCGACATAAACTGACTGATATGTAGATCGTCTACTATTGGTCAAGAACAGAGTCTTCAAAAAACAACCATCTTCGTATTATTTACTCGTGTTTTTATGAATCTTTAAGAAGAAGCATGATACTATACTTGTTTACATTTGTAGACTTTCTCAAAGATGAGTACGTTTTGTTTCTCTAGAGAGAAAAAACAATCATCCAGGTGGCATTCGATTGCTAATCTGCAGATCTTAAATTTTTAACTTACATTTTACAGATAAGATGATATTTTTCTCTAAACGACGGTCTGCCCTTAAAAAAACTACTCTCTATCAAAACATCATTGGGATAAATTGAGAAATTGATCTCCAGTAAAACTGTTTTGATTTTGTGAAATACTATCTAAAAAGAGTGTTGAACTGTATATGAGTAGAAAATTGGACTGACTTCGACCTCTTCACACAGACCGTGACTGACACATTAATAACGATTCCTTTCCTGCCCACATCCTCCTCTCTCTCCCAATCACAGCATGACCCACACTCTACCAAAGGCCGTCATAGATCGTGGCAGAAATCTTAGTGCTGCCACTACGCCCTTATGAGCCATAATGCATATACCTGACAAATTGAAACCTGCTGCATGGTTAGTATGGAACATAATTGAATTCAAGACACTTGCCAGTTGTCTTTTGATCACACTCACTGTAATATATTACGATTAACAGTAAATAGTGATTTAGAATCAAGGCATATATTGCTAAATTCCCTATTTACATTGTTATTAATGTGATTGTGTGTCATATTTTAATTCATCAGGGACTGCGCTAACAGCTTTTTTAGGAAATGAAATGAACTTCGATTAAAAATATAAGCGTTTAGGCAAACCAAAGAAAATAAACCGAATAGATTTTTATACAATATATTCATTTTGATAAAGGAACTTAAATTTGTTGTTGACATATTTTATTGAGAAAAAATTGTAGATTTAAAGGGTGTGGGTGTGAGTGTGGGTGGGTGTGTGAATGTCATAAAAGAAAACTCCACACCCACCCCCATCCACACCCACACCCAATCAAAATTCCTATTTTAAATTCGAAATATTTGTTTCCAATATTACTTCTTGGAATTCCATTGACTACCTTCATATGCAATCCATTCACATAAGCATTCAATGAACAGTTTAGCATAAACCATATTGATCCATTCTGGCGGTAATTTAGTGTAACCGTAGAATGCACCTGCTAATTGGCCATAAATAGCCGCTGTTGTATCGGTATCGTCACCTAAATTTACTGCTTCTATTGCGCCTTCTTTAAATGTCTTAGTTTTCCAAAACGCCCATAGAGCAGCTTCAAGAGAATTGACTACATATCCTTTGCCTCGTATCCCATCATCATATCCTTTTCTCTTCTTAAAAGATCCTCTTGCAACTTTTTCAATTTCTGGATGTAAAGGATCGCCTTTGAACAATTTCTTCAGCTCGTTCGAGTAAAATTCTTCACTAAGCAGCTGATCTTTTCCTACTTTGTTCAACAGAACAGCAATAATGAGTGCTCCATAATAACGGCAGGCATCATATGCTCTTTTATCTCCGTGAGTAATCCCACCACTGATTCCTGAAAAATCAACAGCTACTTGTGGTTTTTGATGGAAAAACAGAGGTACTGGTGCCAAACGCATAAGTGCACCGTTACCGGCTGCTTCATCTGAGCCACAGTAGACTGGAAAATTTTTGAGAAGCTTCTTATCTGAAAGAAAATCGATTTCGTCAAACGGAATATTATTGTTTCGAGCGAACTCTGTTTGTTGATTTTCAAATTTACGAATTGCTTTTTTAGTAGCTGCACCAATATCAAAGCAATTTCCCGTCGATGACATGTATCCATGTCTAAACCACCATTTATATCGAACCAATTGATCATAAGGTTCAAAGTCACAACGAGCTACTAACGAATTTGCTAAGCAAAGAGCCATAGATCCATCATCGGTGAACTAAAATAAACTTTTTCTTTATTGAATTCCAAAATAAGTACATAGAAAGGTTAGATTAATGCTTAGTTTTGTAAAAAGAAAACGGTTGTTTCAAATAAATAGACCCTTTAGTTGTTTATTTAAACAATTCGAAGTCTCAATTATTTAATTACTATGTAAAAATTTGATAACAATGTTTTTAAAAGAGAGAGATAATCCTGCTGATTTTGTTTTACGATTTCATCGATAGTAGTATGTAAATATAGGTGAGTTCACTATAGAAACAGCTTATTTTTACAAGTTGAAATAATTCTCTTCAGATATTTGTATTTTCTAGGGAAGAAAAAGTTTAAAGAGTCTGTTGAATCCTTCGATAATCGAATAGAATCAAAAAAATAGATATCGCTAGAGAAAGACTTAGAAGAAGATATTGAAATTTGCATCAATATGGTTTCATGGAATAGAATCCCGTGATTGTATTCTGAATTTCTGCCTGACATGAAAACGGACACATCATGTGTTTACGTTCGATGATTTCTGAGTCAATTACTTTTACTCACAATAAAAAAGAAGTCTCATAGATGAAAATCATATATAATTCACACTACTAAAGGAAAATAATATTTACATCAAAAATGAATAAAATATTCTTGAAAACGATTTACCTGTCCTTTCTCAAGACCCCATGTTCCTCCACTTTGTAGATCAGAAACTGGATTGGCGAGTAAATAAGCATGTGGTCTGAATTCGACATGAGCACCTAAAGCATCTCCCAAAAGTAAACCAAACATTGAACCCTTAATACGATTCAGAATATTTTCATCAATTGATCCAGGAGGACTAGTGAGATATCTCTCACATTCCTTCGGCATAAAAATCATTGTACATTCATGATCTTTAAAACGACATTCCAACCATCTTTTATTGTCATCTAAACAAAAGTCGATTCAGACAGCACATCCCATGAGGACTAATATAATCCAATAGTTTATATGATTAAGAAAATCAATTTTAAAAGTATCATTCAAGATTAGGATGATATTTTGATTTTTCTGTCTACGTAGTGAATGTCGACTTCAGCTAAAACTATGGGTCAAAAGACATTTCTTCGTAGAGTTCGTGGACAGTATTACAAAGACAACGCATAAAACTTATTATTTACAATAGTTGAAGCAATTCACTACTTTTGTTACTTTAACTTATCAAGCTGTACTTAACATTAAGGTTGAATGCGTACGTGTTTGAGTATGGTTCTCGTCTTTATTTCACAAACTACTCATCTGAATTACATATTTTCTCTTTACGTATTTTTTGTACTCCGCAAAATGTATACTACTCGATATTTTGTATTATAGAGGATGCTTAAAATAGAAATTAGTGTTTTCTCAGCACATGATATATATATATATCAGCTGATTCAAGAGTGAGCACAGTATGTCAGCTTGGTGACAAAACAATGAAGATCAAGAATCTATTGTAGAGACATTGTTTCTTAATGCCCGTAACACTACGAGTGTACAGGATGTGGATTTGTGTGTGTATTAGAAGAGCAGGTATAAGCAAATTTATACCCCTACTCTTCGATAGAAGATAGTGTTTTAAACAAATAGAAAGGGAAAGAAAGTCATTGTTGACGCACGTTTTGTAGAAATATAAATTATGAAGAAGTGACAAGTATCAATTAAAAGATTTGTATTATAGCAAAAAAGAGTGACGCAACCACTAAGAAAATTTCAGATATGCCGTCGAGAATTTGAAAGGAAGATCCGAATGTCTACTCCATCGGGAGACTTTTTTTGCTTCAGAATAAATCTTTTCAATCTTATTTATCTGTATCTGCGTTTAGCTAAGCAGGATACTCGTAAAGTATAAGAGCCTTCTTCTGACTTTCGAATTAAGTAAAAAAAACACCTTATAGCTGTTTCAATAAGTAAGTTGAACATCTAACTGTTTAAAAATAATAATGATGAAAAAGATTTCTTTCTCCTATCGAAAACAATCATCTTGCAAATTTTTGAAAATACATTAGCAGTGTCTCACCTCTTGTAAGCTTGCATGCTGAATGTGATGATTCTGTTGATCCAAGTTCTAGAAAAAAATGAAGAATATTAAAAGTTGGAAATGTACAAATCATTAATTTAAAATATTTCATTTTTCTCACCTACGGATTACAGAACTTGAATATTTACTTTATCGTGGCATCATAGTCGAGCTACCGACTTCATGTAGAAATTTTATTGAAATGTTTGACATTCTCTATAATTATGCACTACTTGAGAATTTCGACGAAATCATAGAATGAGTTTGAGGTTGTGCGTGCATTCGAATTAACTTTTTGTTCAATCTCATTCTTAATTACACTCTATTCAAATTCATGGGACCTTATGACTTTCCATTAGATAAATTTACAAAACTATTTCTATTGTCTAAGTTATCTGTTTACTTCAAGTAGATGATCGATGATTCTATTTTAATAAAAATCTTTCACTTACCAAAAGATTTATCTTTTGAAATATGTGGCTTGTTTTGATTTCGAGGAGGTTCAGATGGTGTGCTTTCATCATTTATCTCCTCCAAATCAATCTCGTCGACTCCAAGGCCCTTATTTTTCAGCACATTCTTGACATACAGACGAGTACCCGGTAAAAGAATGATTTCTACTCCTTCGTTATTACATGAGTATGCTGATATATCTTTACCATTTTCAATATGTACTTTCAGTAGAGTGGATTCATTATTTGATAAAGAACTCATGATAATATTTGTCTGATCGGTGCATGAGGTAATACCCCACCAAGTAAATATTTTTCCCTTTAGATATTTTTCTTTAATTTTGGCGGTTACACCTTGATAATAAATGCCTTTTACGGGAGGTAACTTTTCAAGTGCCGAACAAAGTAGTTTGAAGTATTTCAACCAGAATTTGTTGAGATTAGTTGAGTCTCCACATCTTAATGTTTCATTAAGCATACGACTGAAACTTGCATTATTGAACTGAATAGTGTACAAGTATATAGCTGCTGATTCATCAGGAGTAAGATCATCTGAAGAATTCACATAGGAATTCTTTTTGGATTGTTTAATATAATGATTCAATTGAGGAAAAGCGTCTTGCAAGGGCTTGAGAGCCTCTTCCAGCGTTAGAGTACGATTATTTTTATATTCTTCGATCGGATGTATTTTCTTGTTTTCGCAATCAACGTCAGTGAGCCGATCAATCAACGTGGTTTTGGGACCTACAATAATGTTTATTTTCGTTATTATATAGCTTTATTTTAGAACAAGAAATTACACGTTCTTAGCAATACGATAATAGGCATACAAAAGAACGATAAGTAGCTAGTAATTTTCAAAAGTGATCTAGTTTCGAAAACCATGTAGTCAGATGATAGTACATACGAATACTACTATATTGAAAAATAAAATCTCTTGTTCTGTTGTTGATTGAGAAAACGAAGAAGAATGTTCTTTATTTCCCCTATTTTACGGTAAGAAGTAATGCACGATATGTTCTCGACAATTAATACTAACATAACTTGAGGCAGAACATTATTCTAATTTTGAGTTCTCTTGTTCAATTTTATAAGCTCTTATGTATATGGACCAATTATATTCTGACCAAAACAGTAGTTAGTTCTGTATAAGTGCTTAAAAAAATTAGAATCGAATATAGAGTACTTTATTTTTTTTCTATAGTCACTTTATGTCAGATTTAGCCCCAAAATAATTTGAATTTGGTGAGATTTCAACACTTGAAATAAACCAAAGTGAAACCTTAACAACTTTGAAAGTGTCATTGAGATTTCATAGTTTATAGAATCTATATTATTCTTGTTTTTTGATAATGTACCAGATATGTTCATGAGGGTGTAATTACTTTGTTGCTTTCACAACTGTGACATGATAGCCATAGAGTTCGAGCATTCATGATCATCTGTTGATTGTATTCGACTTTCTGGTTTTCAAAGTAAAACAGATTTAAAATTTATTGAAGTGTATGCAGACAACTGAACTTTGTGAAAGGATCAAGTAACTGTTCCGATCTATCTCTCCAAAAGAAATAGCTTTACATAGGCAAATTGTTTAAAATGAGACCGATCGATCAGATACAATTCTTTTTATATCATTATTTATGATCTTTTAAACTTCTTTCTCGACGTTCTAAGGCAGTTTGACATAGTATTTCTGATTTTATCTTCAGAGTGAGTTCCCATATTGAGTCTTTACTCTTTGACTTAACTATGAAGGATGAGTTTTCAACTAGTTCCCAAAAGCACAAAGATTTCGAATACAAAATTTCAAATAACTTTTGAGATGAGTTAAACATTGAAAGACCACTTAAATTTACTGTTCTTCCTGTGACACGAATAATATTGACTTTATTTACTTATTTTTAATAAATATTTCTAAAGAACTACTTTGAAATGAATAAGTTTCAGCGACAATCCTTTTGTATGTGAGTATCTTAACACTTCATGACTCGTATTTTTTGCATTATAATTTGATGATGACTTAGAAGTCTAACATTTATTTTGTATGCAAACAAAAATCTACCTTTCTCAATACATTTGTAGAAATATCTACGTACAAGAACTTGCATCTGTCATATTTGAATGATTATCAGATTTCGGCATCGTTGAAATTGTAGCTTCCTGGTTCTTAGACGTTAATCTTTGCAAAGCTGTATTACGGCTTGAATTCGATGCAGATGAACCTAAAGTTGAAAACAAGATTTCGCAACACACTGTCTTCTAACTACGTAATTCATTGAAGAGCTTTGAAAAAATAAACAATTTCATAAATTATTTTATACATCGAATCTTCTTTAGAACTTAAACTTTCTATTAAAACCTATGAAAAGTCATCGCAGTTTTCAATGAGCTTTCAGTGTTGTTAGATGAACACTATCTATTTTTCTTTTACCTCACACATTCTAGAGAGAAAAAAGAGCACTAAGCATCAAAATAAACTTCTTTTGGTTTTAGACCAAGCACAATATTCGAAGTGCCTATACCATTAATAGCATTGGTCTTAGCAAGAGTTCCATTCCTACCAGCACAATTCTTAAAGATGAAATCTTTAGATTTTGTGCACAAACAAATTTTCTACCAAGTAATGATTTAGCTATTTTTGAAGTTATTCCTTATATTAATATTAATATCAGGCCAATATATTCCATTAAAGGTTTGTAAGCTTTCGATTCTAGCATGGAAAAATTGAAGGTAGAGAATACAAAGATCTATTTCATATTGACCGTCAGATCTAAGAGCAATATTTTCTTTTCGAAAGAATTTCAACCCGACAAGATACTCATCAGTTTTTGGTATTGAATAATTAATGCATATCAGTAAAGAAAAGACAAGTAGTTTGTATGAAGGTCTATCCATGCAGTAATGTCATAGAAGAACAATTAGAAATGCTTAGGTAAAAGGTTAAGATAGATATACAGATAGATTCATACTCTTAAGGCTTTTCCATAGAAAAAAAATTGAGGAGAAAGCTGCAGAATTGAAAAAAGTAAAAGTGCTCATTGCATTATTGGATGAGTAACGACAAGATGCATCTATTTTTCTTATTCACTTTTACTTTGGCTATGCTAAAACATAGATTAATTCTACACATCAAGTTTATTATGTTTCCATGTGGTATATGAAAATCCATTACAAATTATGATTTTGTACGTAGTTTAGATACAAGTCGCCTAATGAATTGATTGCACAACTCAATTATTCAAACTTATTTTGATTCATTTGAAAATTACTGAATTCAGATCTTGAACTTGTAAAATCACATGCTCTAATGTTTTTTGCAACTGCACTAAAAAAAAGATTTAATACGAAACCTGTGTCCGCGCTCAGATCCTTTAAGGTTTCATATTGATTTACGAAACCTAAAAAAGTTCAGCAAATAGTTTTCTGATCCTTTTTGGCTTCAGTAAATCGATATGAAACCTTAAAGGATCTGAGCGCGGGTACAGGTTCCGTAATAAACTTATTTTTTTTACAGTGTGGTTTTGGAACCCAGAATATCAATAATCTAAGCGAATGAAGAAAGGCTTTCATTTTAATGTTGTATATAATATCAAATTTTATAGCATACCGCTAGAATCTTAGAAAACTTGATAATAAATAGACCATTGAATCTTGGAAGTATTTCTCTACATATCCATATATTATCGGGTTACCGGAAGATCGCCAATTCGGACTTTCGCCAATAGGACATTCGTCAATGGCGAAAGTACAGGGATGTGTTGGCGAAGGTACGGTGAACTTTCGCCAATTGACGAAATTCCAAGGTATGTATTGGCGAAAGTACAGCGGACGTTCGCCAATTGACGAAAGTATAGTGGAGTTTTGTCAGCCGTCACAAAATAATATTAATACAGGATACATGTAAGGGCTAAAGCTAATACTGTTAGAATATATACTATAGCTTACGCTTATTAATATAGTCGATGCACATTTTTTAATTCACGTCTAATTAGCACTTAAATTGACGAAAGTCTCCTATACTTTCGCCAACTGGCGAAACTCCATGAAGTGTGTTGGCGAAAGTACAGTGGACATTCGCCAATTGGCGATATTCCAGTGTGTCTATTGGCGAAAGTATAGTGGAGTTTCGCCATTGGCGAAAGTGCTATTTGGCGAAAGTTTTATTGGCGAAGATCCGGAATCCCATATTATCCGTTTACTCTTCATAATCTTGTGGTATTATTTATTTTGCAACTAAAAACATGATTTTTTTTCATACGGCACTAGTTTTCAGCAACTATTGTGGCTTCCGATTTTTTTTAAATTTACGAAAAGCTTTGGTGAAACTTCTTTTTTTATTCCATTCTATACGAAGTATGTTCTAACCTAATTGATTTGTTTGTTCAAATATTTTGAAAGTTTATCATCATTGAAAAGTTGTTTTTTTTAGATTAAGAATCTATTTTTCTTGAGAATGTTCAATGAAATCAAGAAGTTCCTCCGTGTACTTATACTTTCCCAGAAAGTGACATATTTGAGTGAAAAGTTCTTTTTTGCTATCTAAGTGAATAGTTTCAAAAAAACAACATTGCTTCTCAATGCAAATTTTGCCTTACTTCAAATTTGAATTTCTCAAATAGCAATCTAATGTTTTTATCTAAACTGGATTTTTAACAAAGATTTGTGATTTACTTGATTTTTCCTAGACTGAAAGGTTAGGGTCTAGAAATCGTAATTCACCTGTGCCTGTTTGCCTGTCTGTCTGGAACAAGCGCTTGGCACAAACGACCGTTTTCATGGCACAAATGACTATTTTCATGGCACAAACGACCATTTTCATCGCATAAATGACCATATATATGGCACAAATGACTATTTTTATGGCACAAATGACCATTTATATGGCACAAACGACCATTTTTATGACGCAAATCATCATTTTTATGGCAAAAATGACCATTTCTTTGGTACAAATGATCATTTCTATGGGCAAAAATGACCATTTCTATGGCACAAAATTGCCATTTTCGTGGTACAAGTGACCGTTGTCAAGGTACAAAATACCATAGTCGTGGTACAAGTGACCATTGTGATGGTGCAAAGTATCATTTCCATGGTACAACTGACCATTGTCATGATACAAAGCACCATGAGTCATGGTACAAATGACCTTTTTTATGGTGCAAGTGACCGTTGTTATTAGCGTCCATGATGAATCACTTGGACGCTAAACGATGATTAAGATGCGCCTTCTAGTCTAATTGGCTTAGGACATCTGCCCGGATAGCAGAAGGAATGGATTCGAGTCCCATGAAGGTCATCTTTTTCATCGTTCTGTCACATAACATCAGTGACACTGCTTGTCTCTTTCGTTCTACACATATTAGAGCTAACAGTTGTGATGGTAAAAAGTACCAAAACAGTGGTACAATTAACTGTTGCTATTGTGCAAAGCATCGTGAGTCGTTATGAAGCTGACCATTTATTTGGCATAATTGACCATTCTTGTGGCTCAACTCAGATTCCACGGTGTAATCAGCCATTTTTATGGCACAGTTGATCATTCTTATCTGCGGAATGAGCGTGTCTGTGTCACAACTAGCTAGATTCATATTAGAAATGACCAGTGCTATGGGATAAATAAACTTTGCTAGTCCTTAGAATCAACTAAGGCATATGCTTTATCATACACATTAGCATCTTGCAATATTTTATGTCAACTGTTTGAATGTATCTTTAGTATGTAATATACAATATTTCGCAAATATCAATGATTTGTCCTAAACTCATCATTGAACAGAATTCATTTTTATTAAAAAACCTAAGGACATCTGTGTCATCATTCCGTCAGTCTAGGGCTCAGTGAATCGACTTTCAAATGTCGATAAACCTTACTTGTTTATTTACGAAGCGAAACAAAGAGATATATCTGACGTAATCGATAGAAAGAAGTAGATAATAATTAGTTGAATCATTTTTTTAGATAATTAATCAAACGAATAGAAAATATTTACTTACCAGATGGTGTCTGCTCATATTGACTTTCCGACCTCATCAAGATTGGCATAGGTGCTTCTTTTCCTGTCACAGATTGTTCTTGTAAATATACTAGTGTTATACCTTTATCTTTCTCATGTGGTTCAATTTTTCCCACTTGTAAACGAGTACCTGGCATTAAAAGAATCTCTTGCACGTTAGAATCAGTTGAATAGTTATAAATATATTTGGCATAAATAGTATTAATCCTAAATAATATTCCATTTTTGTTAAGACATTCTTTTTTAATCAAACTGGATTGAACCATACAGGAGCTTATACCAGACCAAGTAATGGATTGTCCTTCTTGTATTTGATTTCGTATTTCAGATGTGCCAGCTCGCCAGCAACATCCATCGAAAGGGGGCAACTTTTTAAATGCGGAATAGAGTAATTGAAGAAACGGCAGCCATGAATTACGCGCTTCGTTATCTTTAGAACGTAATGCTTTATTCAGTGATACATGCAAATCTTCATCACCCACTTCTCTAGTATACAAAAGCAGAGTGATAACTTCATCTGAAGTAAGTTGGTATTGGTTTTTGTCATAGAAACGCTTTCCAACACCGTCGATGTAAGCACTCATGTTAGGCATGCGAAATCTGGCCTGGTGGAGAGCTTCTGCTATCGTAGGAAGAGTAATAGTTGTTTCTAATTCACTTATAGACAAAAATTGCTCATTTTCCCATACGACTTGTATAAATCGATGAAATCTATTATTTGTAGCCATTCCAAATTGATCAAGATAAGTAAATTCAGAAAGAAAAATGAATTAATATACTGCAGTGTGATATACTATGGGTTTTCGTGTTTGTGAATGACTCTTGCTGTTTTTCGACTTGCACGACAGAAAGAGAAAAAAAATTTACAAGAGAAATGTCGTCTATCATAAATGATACCGTGTATGTGAAGTCCACGTGGTCTTTCAAAGCAAACAATCAACAATGATTTTCAATTTCTTTATATAACAGGGTAGCATAATTTTCTGCTTCTTTTGACAGAATAAAACTATTTCTTCCAACTTACTTACATTATGTTTTACTATTGACATTAACATCTCGAAGTAAATATGAGTGGATAAAAACAGAATATAAATTTGTAAAAAGTTAACTAGGGTGGGTGTGTGGGTGTAGGTTGTTGGTGTGGGGTGTGGCTGTGAGTGTGTGGGTGTGGCTGTGGCTGTGGGTGTGGCTGTGGGTGTGTGGTGTGGATATGGGTGTGGCTGTGGGTGTGGATGTGAGTCTTATTTTGAGAAGCACCCACACGCACACCCCACACCCACACAACCACCCCCACCTCCTCCCATTCCCACACACCCACCCACACCCCAGCCACACCCTCACCCACACCCACCCTCATCCAGACCTCCACCCCCACACCTCACCCACACCCACACTCCAAACAAACAAAGTTTTTCGTGAAATTATTTTAAATATTCTTTTTTTCGAAAACAATGCATACAATAATTGCCAGCGTGCTCAATATGCTATCAGAAAATTAGTGAAAAAGATTTCCAAGTATCATACCTTTCAGAAAGTTAAATTCATATCGATAGTTCATGTCACACACAACTTTATAAACTTATAAGATGTCACTAAATAAATTCCAACTTTAATCATGAGCTTTGGGTGACTTCATCGGACAGAATATTCTTTCGTCTCGTAGTCTAATATAGAATATACATAGAGAACACTTCTTCACAAGTTATTATATTTATCCATTTCTGTTAGTGATGATCATGACCAATAGCATAGATACTCTCTGTTTCTTTCTTGACACGACTTTATCTCACAAGGGAACTTCTCCAGATGCTAAAAGGCTTACGAGCTCAAATTTTGCTTACAGGTAGATAAGGCATAGGACTACAAAAAGAATATAAAATATTGTGTCCAAAGTGCGATTTGCCTGAGATATCGACTTTTTTCTATAATTTTCACCACAATACTTCACTTTGCCAATAAAATCAAGGTTTCGAATGCAGATCTACAACTTTGTTTACATCAAGACATCGATCAGACTAACTTACCTTCAAAGTTTCAGAACTTTTAGACAAATTGTCTTACGAGGAAACTACCTGAAGTGGTAAAAATCTTTTCTGTCGGGTATATGACGGTTAGATAGGACATACCTAGAAGTTATATATCCTAAGTTGGTTCGAGCCCAAGTTGCTTCTAGCAGAAGCTATGAATTTTTCAAGTTATAAGTGACATAGCCAGTTTTGCTCATGAATCTTAGTTGTCTCGAATAAGCAATGACGTATTGAATGAAAAATTTTGTTATACCTGTGTCAATTAGTGATCTTGATTGTTTGTAAATTGCAGCTCAAAAGGATAAAGATATCTAGAGAAAAATAATTTGCAAAAAACTTTTTTTACCGTGCTTCATAGCTTTTCACATTTCACTACTTGATGATCAGAGAATCATTTTAGCACGTTTTTTGAGACTATTCTCGAATTCAGACAGATTATCTATGGAAGAGATATAAAAACTTGTTGTTTTCTTTTTCATTGATATGAAAAATATATTCATAAGTCAGATATCATGAGTTTGATAATTAACGAACAAATCTTGGGAAGATCATTTACAAAAGTGCATGTTTCATATTGATGAAAAAAGAATGCAATAAGTTTTTATATGATTTCCATAGATAATCTGCCTGAACTCGAGAACTGTCTCAAAAAGTGTGCTAAAGCGGTTCTTTGGCCATCAAATAGTGAAATATAAAAAGTTACGAAGCAAGGAATAAAGTTTTTGAAAATTGTCTGTCTCCAGACGTCTTTATCCTGTTGAACTGCAACTTACAAATAATCAAGATCACCAATTGAGATAGATATAACAAAATTTTTCGTTCAATACGTCATTGCTTATTCGTGACAACTAAGATTCACGTGCAAAACTAGCTGTGTCACTTATAACTTGAAAAATTCATAGCTCCTGCTAGAAGCAACTTGGGCTCAAACCAACTTAGGATACATCACTCCTAGATATTTCCTATTTAACTATCATATACTCGACCGAAAAGATTTTTAGCACCTCGGATAGTTTCCTCGTTAGAGATACTAATATATTGGTATAAGGACGTTTTTTTATGGATATTGTATTGTGCATGAATATTTTGGAAAATGCATATCTCTGAGATAATTTCTCCAAAAGTCTTGCGATAAAAATTATAGTAAAAAATCGATATTTCAGCCAAATTGCAATTGGAGCGCATATCCTTTTATTTTGCTTTGTAGCCTATGCCATATCTATTTGTGGGGCAAACTTGTGCACAATAGCTTCTTAGCAGCTGGCGAGGTTCCCTCGTGAGATAAAGTTCGATAATTATTCATTCATTTTATATAATCCGTTAGTCCTTCTTTCAGTCGTCACATATTCTTCTCTCTTCAAGTAAGCACATATATTTAATAAAGAAAGTCATAGTCCACTATTTAGTCATTTACTCAAGTTTTCACCCTCTAGATTTAGCAAGAATATCACTAAGAAATTGGAGAATAGTAAAGAGAGATTTACATGATTAGACCATTGATTGTTTGTTCTAGAAATTTATGCGAATTGAAACTTTGCATCAGATCAAGTAAGGTAAACTCGACAAGTCCTCCATCAAGCATATCAGTTTCGATATTCATTCTTTCTGATCGATTCGTTGCGTGTGTTGATCACACACATTGGATTCATAATATAGAGAAGCTGTCCAAACTGTATTGCACAAACAAGGACTTGTTGGGATTATCAACTTGATCCGATGCGGAACGCTAATGCAAATGACTCTTTTATAATAAAATATCGTATAAAGTAGGTTTCACTTTTTTATTCCAATATTTGACTCTAAAAAAATCAAATGTAATAATTCAAAAACGAAGATCATGGTTCCGATTAGTGAAGAGTGAATACAATGTATATAAATCCATATAAAAAATAGTAATATGCACATTCATTAATAAATAAATGACTCACTCTAGCTTAAAATTTTATCCTCAAAATAGCAAAAAAAATATTTAATAAAAAAGTTAAGGAAAAGGATAATTCTTGAAATGTAGAATGGATGAGAGTCTCGACATTTGAGAAATCATTCTTTACATTTTATTGACAATTTTTATCTCTTTTTGCGAATGAAATGAAACATTAGGATAATATCTATCAAAAATCTAAAATATTTCTTCAATAAAATAAATATTTCTATTAAAGATATGATTCTGATGACAATAATTCATTTATTTGTCCTTCTTGTGGCTTTATCATTATCAACAGCTACAAATTTTGAACAATTTGGTCTTAAACTTTATTCAAGTGTTAGTCAAAATAAGAAGAATGAAAATATATTTCTTTCACCAGCAAGCATTTCTCTTGCAATGTCAATGTGTGCAGTTGGTGCTCAACAAGAAACATTAAATCAAATGTTACAAGCATTTGAAGTGTCATCTGGAAACGAATTAATAAAGACAGTTGAACAAATTATGGATATCTTTTCTATTGCTACTCAAGATAAACAAGTTCAACTTAAATTAGCTAATCGTCTTTATGCCCAAAAAGCATATCAACTTCAAGAAGAATATTTAAAAATTGTTCAAATTTTCTTTAAAGCAGACATGAAACTTGAAGATTTTGAAAATGAAAGTGCTCAAGCTGTTCAAAGAATTAATACATGGGTTGAACAACAAACAAATAATTTAATTCGAAATTTACTTTCAACAAGAGATGTAACACCTGATACAAGATTAATAATTATTAATAGTATTTATTTTAAAGTAAATATTTATTTTAATCAAAGAAAAATAATTTCTTTTTTTTTTTTTTCTTAATTAAATCATAGGGTACATGGATAAAAGAATTTAACAAAAATTTAACAAATCAAAATGCTAATTTTTATGAAACGAATGGTAAAATTTCTAAAGTAACATTAATGCATCAAAAAGGACAATTTGCTTATGCTGAGAATAACGATTTACATGTACAAATTGTTCATGTACCATATAAAAGTGAAAATAAAGATGTTGAATTTGTTTTTACGGTTATTTTACCTAATCGAGGAGTTCAATTAGATGTTGTAGAACAAAATTTAGCATCACAACCTGATTTAATGCAAAAATTATTTAGTCGTGAAAAAACAAGAACAGAAGAACTTAATTTATATTTACC